GTTAAGCACACGTTAAGCACCCACGAAGCACATTTTTCGGACATCCCAGCGCTCAGTAGACACGCGTGCAGCACCTACAAGCACACGGTAAGCGCAAGTGAAGCGCATGTGAGCCACACACCGAGCGCATGCTAAGCGCACACCAAGCACACGCGAAGCCCATGCCATGCACGTGCCAAACACCCACGAACCACATACTATGCACATACCAAGCAAATGTGAGGCACATGGTAAGCACATGCTTAGCACATGCTAAGCACACACCTAGCACATGCTAAGCGCATTCGAAGCACACACCGAGCACACACAGAGCGCATAGCAAGTGCACACTAAGGACACGTGAGCCACGCGGCAAGTACATGCTACGCACCCGTGAAACGCATACAAAGTACACACCAAGCACATGCTGAGTAAGTGTTAAGCACACGTGAAGCACACAGAAAGCACATACCAAGCCCGCACGAAGCACACGCCAAACACATGCTACGTATGCGTAAAGCACACGCTAAGCACGTGCCATGCAGACGCTAGGTGCACGCCATGCATATGCCACGCGTTGGTTGTGCGCATGCCAAGCACACGCCAAGCACACGCCAAGCACATGCCGCATACACGTGAGGCACCCGCTAAGCACATGCCACGCACGCGCTAAGCACGTGCCGTGCCTGCGCCCCGCATACGCCACGCGTTGGTTGTGCGCGCGCCAAGCACACGCCAAGCACACGCCGCATACACGTGAGGCACCCGCTAAGCACATGCCACGCACGCGCTAAGCACGTGCCGTGCCTGCGCCCCGCATACGCCACGCGTTGGTTGTGCGCGCGCCAAGCACACGCCAAGCACACGCCAAGCACACGCCGCATACACGTGAGGCACCCGCTAAGCACATGCCACGCACGCGCTAAGCACGTGCCGTGCCTGCGCCCCGCATACGCCACGCGTTGGTTGTGCGCGCGCCAAGCACACGCCAAGCACACGCCAAGCACACGCCGCATACACGTGAGGCACCCGCTAAGCACATGCCACGCACGCGCTAAGCACGTGCCGTGCCTGCGCCCCGCATACGCCACGCGTTGGTTGTGCGCGCGCCAAGCACACGCCAAGCACACGCCAAGCACACGCCGACGGCTGCCCCTCCCCCGCCAGGCGCCCC